TCTGTCTTTTGGTTAGTTTGGACAGAGGTTTGTCTATTTTGTTGATTTTCTCAAAGAACCAACTCTTTGTTTCATTGATTCTTCTCAGTGTTTTCCTGGTTTCTACTTGATTGATTTCAGCCCTCAGTTTCATTATTTAATGACGTCTGCTCCTCCTGGGTGAGTTTGCTTCTTTTTGTTCTAGAACATTCACCTGTGGTATTAATTCTCTACTATGACTGTTCTCCAGTTTCTTCATGTGGGAAGTTAGTGCTATAAAGTTTCCTCTCAGCACTGCTTTCAAAGTGTCCCATAAGTTTGTGTATGTTGTGTCTTCATTCTCATTGAATTCCAGGAAGTCTTTAATTTCTGTTTTTATTTCTTCCTTTACCCAGGGATGGTGCAATTGTGCGTTGTTCAATTTCCACGAGTTTGTAGGGTTTCTGCGATTTGTGTTATTGTTGAATTCTAATTTTAATGCATAGTGGTATGATAAGATACAGGGGGTTATTCCGTTTTTTTTGTTTTTTATGAGACAGGGTTTCTCTGTATTGTTTTGGATGCTGTCGGTCCAGCCTGGTCTTGAACTCACAGAGATTATTCCAATTTTTTTGTATCTGTGGAGATTTGCTATGTTTCTTATTATGTGGTCAATTTAAGAAAAGGTTCCATGTGGTGCCGAGAAGAAGGTATATCCCTTTGTGTTTGGGTGGAATGTTCTATAGATGTCTGTTAAACCCAGTTGGGGCATAACTTCTATTAGTTCTTTGTTTCTTTGTTAAGTTTCTGTCTGGAGGTCCTGTCTAGCGGTGAGAGCAGAGTTTTGAAGTCTCCTACTATTAGTGTGTGAGATTTTATGTGCATTTTGAGCTTTAGTAATGTTTCTTTCACGAATGTAGGTGCCTTTGTATTTGGGGCGCAGATGTTTAAAATTGAGATTTCATCTTGATGTACTTTTCCTTTGATGAATATGAAGTGTCCTTCTTCATCTCTTTTGATTTATTTTAATTTGAAATCTAGTTTGTTAGATATTAGGATTGCTACACCCGCTTGTTTCTTGGGACCGTTTGATTGGAAGATCTTTTCCCAACCCCTTACTCTGAGACAAAGTCTGTCTTTGATGTTGAGATGTGCTTCTTTTATGCAGCAGAAGGAAGGGTTCTGTCTTCATATACATTCTGCTAGTCTGTGCCTTTTTATAGGTAAGTTGAGGCCGTTAACATTGAGGGATATTAATGACCATTGATTGATGATTCTTGTTTGTGCTTGATTTATTGTTAGTGAAGTATTGTTGTGTAGTTTCTCCTCCCTTTTTCTTTTGGTGTGTTGTAAAGTGGGATTATATATTGCCTGTGTCTTTGTGAGTGTAGTTATCTTCCTTGGATCTAGGTTTTCCTTCTAGTACTTTCTGTAGAGCTGGATTCATGGATACGTATTGTTTAAATCTGGCTTTATCATGGACTAATTTGTTTTCTCCATCTATGGTAATAGAAAGCTTTGCTGGATATTGTAGTCTGGGTTGGCACCCTTGTTCCCTTAGCATTTGTAGGACATCTGTCCAGGATATTCTGGATTTCATCGTTTCCATTGAGAAGTCATGTATAATTCAGATAGGTCTGCCTTTGTATGTTACTTGGCCTTTTCTTTAGCTGCTCTTAATATTTTCTCTTTACTCTGTAGGTTTGATGTTTTGATTATTATATGGCGAGGTGACTTCTTTTTCTGGTCCAGCCTATTTGGTGTTCTGTAAGATTCTTGTATTTTCATATCTGTCTTTAGGTTAGGGAAGTTTTCTTCTATGATTTTGTTGAATATGTTTTCTGTTCCTTTGAGTTGTATTTCTTCACCTTCTCCTATACCTATTATTCTCAGGTTTGGCTTCTTCACTGTGTCCCATATTTCCTGGATATTTTGTGTTTAGGATTTGTTGGTTTTGAGTTTTTCTTTGGTTGATGACTCTATATCCTCTCATGAGTCTTCAACACCTGAGATTCTCTCTTCTATCTCTTGTATTCTATTGGTGATACTTGTGTCTGTAGCTCCTGATCGTTTGCCCAGCTTTTCTATTTCCAGCATCCCCTCATTCTGTGTTTTCTTTATCATTTCTATTTCAGCTTTCAATCCTTCATCTGTTTGAGTTGTTTCCTTCATTTTTTGCTTGTTTTTTTCTTCGTGCTCTTTAGATTCTTTGAGAGATTTGTTTATTTCTAGAATTGTTTTCCCCCATTTCAAGGATTTTTTGTTTGTTTTCTCTTCTATTTCTTTAAGGGATTTCCTTGTTTCTTCTTTGAGGATCTCTATCATGTTCATGAAATAATTTTTAAGGTCTGTCTCCTCTGCTTTGTCTATGTAGTGCTTTTTGGGTCTTGCTGGTGTTGGTTCCCTAGATTCTGGTGGAGTCATGTTGGTCTTTCTATTGCTGAGTGAGCTCTTATTCTGTCTTCTTTCCATCTCTTCTTCCATTGGGTGTTGGTGGGGTCTTTCCGTCTCCACTGGTCTCCTTCCTTCCTGAAGCTGAAGCTGGGGATGCTGACACTGAAGCTTAAGCTGAAGCTGGGGTTGCCGGAGTTTGGGACCTGGAAGGGCTGATGTCTTTCCTGAAGCTGGGCTCACCAGAGTTTGGGGCCTGGAAGGGCTGATGTCTGTCCTGTGTGGGTGGGTCTTCTGGATGCCAGGAACACCCTGGAAAATCGAAGGGATGGGGCTCAGGCAGAGGATGGAGAGTGTCCCCGCAGAGACACGAGCTCAACTAGCTGGGATTGCCGGAGATTGGGGCCTGGAAGGCTTTTTTTATTTTATGCTGAGTCAGGAAGCCTCACTTAAGCGAGCCCCATGAGTCTTTGCTTGTCACTAGCAAAACAGCCCACCTGAGAAAATGCTGCTACCAAAAATCTGTGCTTCTCTCCATTCTTCTATTTCTAAAATTTCTTTAAAGCTTTAAAGCTTTTGTCATTCTATGTGGAAATTCATCATCCTACTCCTGATTACCATTATGTAAAGGGAAGTTTTTTCCTTGAGAGAAGCCTTCCCACCAGCCTGGTTCCAGAGCTGCATACATCCTCCCCAATAAAAGGTGTCATTAATTTTTTTTAACTTACCCATTCTGGAAGGTGTAAGATGAAATCTCAAAGTCATTTTCACTTGCATTTCCCTGTTGGCTAAGTATTTTCAACATTTTTATAAATGTATCTTGGCCATTTGAGATTCTTCTGTTGAGAATTCTCTGTTTAGGCATGTACCCTAGTTTAAAATTGAATTATTTGGTTTGCTGATGTCTGTTATCTTGTGTTATTTGTATATTTTGGAGATCAGCCTTCTGTCAGATGTGGGGTAGTTGAAAATCATTTCCAATTCTTTAGTCTGCCATTTTGTCCTATTGACAGTGTCTTTGCCTTACAGAAGCTTTTCTGTTTTATGACAACCTGTTTATTGAGTGTGTCTGTGCCACTTATGTTCTATTCATGAAGTTGTCTCCTGTCCCAGTGCATACAACGCTATTTCCCAATTCAATTTATCTCCTATCTTGTTCAGTGTAAGTTGATTTTTGTTGAGGTCTTTGATCCTTGAGTTTTGTGCAGGGTGATAGATATGTATCTATTTGCATTATTCTACATGCCAACATCCAGTTCAAGCAGCACCATTTGCTGAAGATGTTCTTTTTTCTCTCTCTGTATAATTTGGGCTTCTTTGTCAAAAATCAGGTGTTCATAGGTGTGTGGGTTTATACTGGGTTCTTCAATTTGATTCCATTGAATCACCTGTGTTTTTATTCTAATATCATGTGGTTTTATTAACATAGCTGTTTAGTAAAGCTTAAAATCAGGGATGGTGATACTTCCAGAAGTTTTTTCATTTTACAGGATTGTTTTGGATATACTGGGCTTTTTGTTTTTCCATATGAAGTTAAATATTGTCCATTTAATATTTGTAAAGTATTGTGTTGGAATTTGGTGGACATAATACTAAATCTGTATATTGCTCTGGAAGGATGGCCATATTTACTATATTAATACAGCCAGTTTTCTTTTATGCATAGAGTTGCAGAAGCATGGACACTGGGCACACAGCCACTGTGTGACTGTGACAGAACCCAAAACCTTCCAGGCATATATACATAATAGGGTCATGCTGTGAGACTACCTCATTCAGAGCTTTGCAATGTCTCCTCAATGGTCCTGAGGACTGGTGCAGAATGAGTACCAACCTGTCCAATGAGACCCAGGAATGCAGACATACAGGATAAGGTGGATCTGGTCTTTCCTGTCTGTCCCTTCCTAAGGAACATTTCTAACCATTAAGCTCTCCAATCTCACCGAATCCTCCCATTGCTACTTACCACCTGGATATCACATATCAAACTATAGGATGCTTAGGCTCCCTGGGGACTTCAGGGTTCCTGGTGATACTTACCTGGTCTCTGATTCCACCCTTGTCAGGGACGCTGCTACTCATGATGTCCACTTCACAGTTTACCACATCCTGATAACTAAAGAAGGTAACTGAGGTTCATAGAGGCAAAGAGATTCATTCATTCCGGCCACGTTGTGACTAAAGGTCTGAGCCAGGATTTGAATTGACATGTGTGGGGCTCCTAAGCATACTTTCTTGGTATGGTTATTTGAATTATAAGTGTTCTACATACTCTTGGACATTTGAATACTCATTCCTCTGCCAGGGTTGTTTGTTGGGATATGAATGCAGGTTTAAAAGACTCCTCCAGACGCAAGATAAATGATAAAATAGGTATTTATTAGGGAAACACTTACACAGATAAGAGTAAATAGCTTCCACAGTCTTCCTGCTCTAGAAGATGTAGTCTCTGTCCTTCTGATGTTCTCTGAAACCCAAGAAAGTGTGAGGCAGCCCCTCCTCTACTTTATAATGGGCCACAGCTTCACCTGAAACCATGCCCAAAGGGTGTGGTCACCACTACAAGTTCACTGGCAAGGCAAATGCCACTAAAATTCCCTTTTGAATAAAAAAAAGGTTTTTATATATACATTTTATTTAAATTAGAAACAACCTTATTTTGCATATCAATCTCAGTTCCTTCATGTCCTCCCATAACTCCCATATTTCCCATACTCATCCTGTTCTCCCATCTGCTCTCCAGGGAGGGTGAGGCCTTTCATGAGGGAGGATTAAAATCTGTCAAGTCATTTGGGGCAGTGCCTAGGCCATGTCCTGTGTATCTAGGCTAAGAGAGTATACATCCATGGAAAATGGATTCCCAAGTTCTGTTTGCGTACTATGGATACATCCTGGTTCCACTACCAGAGGTCCCATAGGCTGCCCTGTAAAGAGAAGCTTTTTCCTTGAGAGGAGCCTTCCCGCCAGCCTGGTTCTAGAGCCGCATCAGTCTCAAATAAACACACAGGAGGCTATATTCATTATGAAGCTGTGGGCCTTGTTTGTTTCTTACTGGCTAGCTCTGACTTAAGTAATGACCCCATACTTGTTAATCTCAGTATTTCTCTTACCGGAGAATAGTTCCGGGCTTCCTACCACATGGCATTACATCTTGACTTCTGTGTTTCTCTTACCCAGAGTTCTCCTGGACTCCTAGTCCCACCTATCTTGATTCCCTATAGGCCAGCAGTGCTTTATTGACAAATGCACAGGACTTCCCCCAACATCTCCTCATTTCTGTTTAAACAAAAAGAAAGGTCTTAACTTTAGCATAGTCAAATTATATATAACAGAACAGTTATCAAGTAAGAACATAGTTACAATATTTTAGCAAGATTTAAAGAAAATATCATCCATCCCATCCTTGTGAGTCCAAAGTTCCATGTAGCTTATCTTTTATCATAACTAAGGAAAACTGTAACTATAGCTATCTGTCTTCAACTCCATCAAAGACAACAGAAGGATAATATATAAACACTAGGATTGAGAGACATCCTGCTACCTGGACAGTCACCCGAAGTTCCTCTTTATTGTCAGGGCATCCATCTTCAGCCCATAGGCCACAATGTGTCCAGAAGATTTCTCAGCAAAGCAGGAAATTTCAAACTGTCCATCTGCATTAGCAGTCTGTCAGTCATTTTTCTGTGTCCTGCAGAAAGTCTCGTAGACTCTTCCATGAATCAGGAACCCTGTAAGACTCAGTCCAGCTGTCACTTTCCTGTGGGTCCTGCATGTCCAGATTATACAACAACAGTCAAACAGTCTAGGCAAGAGCAGTTTCTTGCCCAAATGGCTAATCTTGCCATGTTGAAAGCAAACTCCATAACGAATTTCTTCGATGCCCATCTCAGACATAATTGGTGCTGCCAGGAGCAGACATTTCTCATTGTCAAGAAACACCCTAAACCATTTTAAATGCAATTTTTCTGAAGATTTTTGAGAGGTTTGAAGACTATCTATCTGTCTCAAATACATCTCTATATATCTAGAAAACCTAACTTCCCTAACTATAAATTCTGACTACTATAAGTAACTATCTATAGTCTGTATTTAATTACACATTACATTTTAAAAGATTAGTATAAGCACAATACTTAATCAAGAGGAGAAATATACATGTCACAAAATTGACCTTGAATTTGTCTCAATAAATGAAAAACCATACCTATATCATAATTCCCCTTTTTACCATTAAAACAGATTGGTTGTGATCATTAACCAATTGTAAACAATCCCATTTAAATGAAAACAAAGATTTATAAACAAGATGGGAATTAGGATGTCCCTCATTCCAAACTGCTTCGTGCTGGAAGGGGGCGTTCTTTATACCATGGGGATCATGACAAAACTCAGAAACCTGTATAAGTCCTTATTTTCAGGGTCGGTAAAGCTGCATCATCTTAGCTGTTTCAGTTGTTGGAACATCTGACCCACTGCTTCTGGGGGTCTTGGTTCGTCAAACCACAGAAGCCTGGAAGTAATCCTCAGCTTTTCATTTTCTGTGGAGACATAAACTAAAACTCCTTTTCTGAGTAACATATCCTTATACTTAAATTTTGAAGTCAAGGCATTTTCAAAATATAGAAGTTGAATTAATTTAGCAGCATTTATAATCAAGTGTACTTTAGCATTTGTTCCTTCCTTAGCAATGAAAAGACTGAAAAACACAGTAGTGTACAGTATCCAGACTCTCTGTGTGTTTTCCATCTTTACGTGGCTTATTTATTTATCTATTTTTACTTTATTTTTTTACTTTTATTTCTTTTTCTCTGAGACAGGGTTTCTCTTTGGAAATCTGCCTGCTTCTGCCTTTGCAGCAAATCTTACTCTGCCTCCTGACTGCTGGGATTAAAGGCATGCGCCACCAATGCCTGGCTTTTCTATTTATTTACCACTATGCCCGATTCTTTTTCTCTCTCAATCCTATATTTTTAAACACACTGTAAACCGTTAGAGGTTTTGTTCATCCAATCTGACTTTACTGTAAATCTTTATGTTTTACTGGCCACGTGTCTTATCTGTTAAAACCGTGGCAGTTCAAATTGCCTTTTTTTCAAGATGGCGGCATAAGTGTGATTTCAGATTACAGCCTCAGTCCATGCTGACATCCAGCAAAAGCTGCCATTTCCAGCTGTATGTACTCACCTTTCAATTGTTAGCAGAGTCTCTTAAAACAACCTTGCTGGCTGGTTTTTTTTTCTTTTTATGCCGAGTCAGGAAGACTCCATTAAGCGAGCCATGTGAATCTCGGCTTATCGCTAGCAAAACATCTGAGAAAAATGCTGCTATCAAAAATCTGTGCTTCAATCCATTCTTCTGTTTCTAAAATTCCTTTAAAGCTTTTGTCATTCTATATGGAAATTCAATCCCGCTCTGACACCATTCTGTAAAGAGAAGCTTTTTCCTTTCAGAGAAGCCTTCCCGCCATCCTGGTTCTAGAGCCGCATTAGTCCCAAATAAACACACAGGAGGCTATATTAATTATGAAGCTGTTGGCCTTGTTTGTTTCTTACTGGCTAGCTCTGACTTAAGTAATGACCCCATAATTGTTAATCTAAGTATTTCTCTTACTGGAGAATAGTTCCGGGATTCTTACCCCATGGCAATATCTTGACTCTTGTGTTTCTCCTACCCAGAGTTCTCCTGGACTCCTAGTCCCACATATCTTGATTCCCTATAGACCAGCAGTGCTTTATTGACAAATGCACAGGACTTCCCCAACATTGCCCAGTACTCCTAACTAACACCCACATTCAGGGGGCCTGGTTTGGTCCTATGTTGGCTCCCCAGCTGTCAGACTGGGGTCCGTGAGGTCCATAAGTTCCCACTTGTTTGGGTCACATGTTTCTGTGGTTTTTTCCAGCATGGTCTTGACCCCTTTGTTTGTCACTCTTCTCTCTCTGAAACTCGATTCCAGGAGTTTGGCTCAATGCTTGACTGTGGATCTCTGTTTCTGCTTCTATCAGCTACTGAATGAAGACTCTAGGATGTCATTTAAGGTAGTCATCATTCTCATTATAGGGGATGAGCATTTAAGGTAGCCTCTCCACTATTGCTTCCGGTCCTAGTTGGGTCATCCTTTTGGATCTCTGTATACTTCCCTAGTGCCAGATTTCTCTTTAAACCTATAGTGGCTCCTTCTATTGATGTGTCCCTTTTCTTGCTCTCCTGTATTCGTATCCCCACTCAATCTTCCTGATCCCTCATGTTCTCTTTCTCACACCTCTACTATCCTCCTCTTTCTCTTACATACCTGCTCCCTCCCCCCATATCCCTCATTTGTTTAGGGTTTCTTGTCTGTTTCTGCTTGACTAGAAGACCATGGATGTCTCTCTTATTGTCCTTGTTTCCTAGCTCATCTGGAGGTGTGGACTGTATGCTGGTAATCCTTTTCACTAAGGGTAGAATCCATGTTTGAGTGAGTACATACCATGCTTGTCCTTCTGTGACTGCGCTTAGGATGGTTTCTTCTAGTTCCATCCATTTGCCTACAAATTTCAAGATTCCGTTGTCTTTTTCCACTGAGTAGTACTCCATTGTATAAATGTACCACATTTTCTCTATGCATTCTTTTTCAGTTGAAGGGCATCTAGATTGTCTCCAGGTTTTGGCTATTGAAAATAATGCTGCTATGAACATGTTTGAAAAGATATCCTTGTTGTATGAAGGGTAAATGCCTAAGAGAGTACTTGCTGGATCTTGAATTATACTGGTTTCAATTTTCCGGAGAAGCTGCCATAATGATTTCCAAAGTGTTGGTACAAGTTTGTACTCTGAAGCATTCCCCTTTCTCCACATCTTCTCCAGCACAAACTATCATTGGTGACTTCTGTTTTAGCCATTCTGACAGGCATAAGATGATATGTCAGGCCGGGCGGTGGTGGCACACGCCTTTAATCCCAGCACTCGGGAGGCAGAGGCAGGCGGATCTCTGTGAGTTCGAGGCCAGGCTGGACCGACAGCCTCCAAAACAATACAGAGAAACCCTGTCTCGTAAAAACAAAAAACAAAACACCAAAAAAGATGATATCTCAGAGTTGTTT